CGTAGTGTATGGGCCTGCAGGAATGCCACCTCCGGTACAGCGCAGAGCTGCATGGTTGGGGTTACGCGATATGTCTCTTTCCCACAGAATTTCCGATCTCGGCCACTCATCGTGGGCGTGTGTTGGAGCAGGACTGGAAGCAGGACTGGAAGCAAAGAGACAGGAGTCAGATCCAACAGCTCCCAGTACACTCGGATTGGCGAACCCCCCCGCTAACAGCTACTGACAGTCCAGGTGACGGGCTGCCACTGTCAGCGGCATGGGGTGGAAGGAAGAAAGAAGCAAGAGCCGCTGGCAGCCGGAGCAGGAAGCACGGCCACTGTCACTGCCCCGCCTTCAGACTCTGGATGGGATCAACACACGTGAAGGGAATCCTCACACTTCCGCTTGCAGGCGCGTTATCATCCCTACCTTAGTTCAGCCGCGTCCAAGACCTCGTGAGCAGCGAAACGAGCGCCGTTGGCCTCACTCATCTTGATCTATTGGCAAGGCAAGGGTTGTACGACAGCTCGTAGCTTCGCAACGATCGTCGACTTGGAAGGGTTTCTCTTTTTCTTTCTGCCAATTTTCGAGCTGCCATTTTTACCCCTCCAGCTTGGGTTGAACCCCGCCACCTCACCCATCTCAGCTTCAGCATCATCACCTCAGAGATCTATATCGCCGACCACGGCCAACTCTCATCATGGACAAAATCACAGACAAGATCGCCGCTCTGCCGGCCAACGCCAACTACTTCTCCCTCGAGTTCTTCCCCCCAAAGACGGCCATGGGCTTCTCCAATCTGAGAGATCGTCTGGACCGCATGGAGAGGGCCCTTCGCCCCTTGTTTGTCAACGTCACATGGGGTGCCGGCGGTTCCACGGCCTTCAAGTCTCTCGAGCTCGCCGAGATTTGCCAGCGAGAGCTGGGTCTCACCACCTGTCTTCACCTGACCTGCACCAACATGAGCCGCCGTCTCGTCGACAAGGCCCTGGATGATGCCAAGGTCCTCGGCATCCGCAACATCCTGGCCCTGCGCGGTGATCCGCCGAGGAAAGCCGAGTACCAGGACGCAGTCGACGAAGAGTCGGATGACGGCGAAGATTTTGTTTGGGCCACCGACCTCGTCAAGTACATCAGGAAAAACCATGGGGATTACTTCTGCATTGGCGTCGCCGCCTACCCCGAAGGCCACGCCGAGGAGAGCCACCCCCTGGGACAGAGCCTCGAGCACGACCTACCGTACCTTGTCGAAAAGACCCAGGCCGGTGCCGACTTTATCATGACGCAGCTCTTCTTCGACATTGACGCCTACGACCACTTTGAGCAGGTCCTGAGGGAGCACCCGAGCGGCGCCTTCAAGACGATACCTATCATCCCCGGTCTCATGCCTATCCAGAGCTACCAAATGATCAAGAGGACAACCAAGCTGAGTCACGCCAAGATTCCTGATGCGCTCATGGCCCGGCTCGACGCCGTCAAGGGAGACGACGAAAAGGTTAAGGAGGTTGGCGTCGACATTGTCAGTGAGCTCGTGGACCAGATCCGCGCCGTCAAGAGCAAGCGGACGACGGGGCCTCAGGGCTTCCACTTCTACACCCTCAACCTGGAGAAGGCCGTGTCTTTCATTCTCGAGCGTACCAATCTCATCCCCGACAAGGAGCAGGAGGACGAAGAGGCCGTGATTGACGATGCGACAACGCCGCCCGTCGTACCAACCGTCCAGATCAACGGTTTGCACCCCGGCTCACACCACCGGCCCGGACGCAGGCAGTCGTCAATCGGCTCCGACCCGCATAACCGCGTCATCGTCTCATCGGCTTCGAATCATGCCTATGAAACCAACCCTGAGGGTGCCGGCCTGCCCGCCGAGCCCATCAACACGCGTGCCAACACGCTCGCCATCTCCGAGGGTGAAGGCGTCCTCGGGCGCGAGGCCACGTGGGACGACTTCCCCAACGGCCGCTGGGGCGACGCGCGGTCCCCGGCTTACGGTGAGATTGACGGCTACGGCGTCAGCCTGCACATGTCGGTGACGCAGGCCGTGCGTCTCTGGGGCCACCCCAAGTCCTCTGTGGACATCAGCACCCTCTTTATCAAGCACATTCGCGGCGAGCTCAGCGCCATCCCCTGGAGCGAGGAGGGCCTGTCGCCCGAGACCAACATTATCCAGGAGCAGCTTATCGAGCTCAACACGCGCGGCTGGTGGACCGTCGCCTCGCAGCCCGCCGTCAACGGCGTGCCGTCGCGCGACGCCACCTTTGGCTGGGGCCCGAGTCACGGCTTCGTCTTCCAAAAGGCCTTTGTTGAGCTCTTCCTGCCGGCCGCCGACTGGAAGGTGCTTTCCGAGCGGCTCACAGGTCCAGAGGTCGAGGGCACCGTGTGCTTCTACGCCTGCAACGGCAACGGCGACTTTGCCACGTCCGACGACAGCGGCGGGCTCGTGAGGACGGCGGTGCCGGCGAGCACCAACGCCGTTACGTGGGGCGTCTTCCCGGGCAAGGAGATCATCACGCCGACCATTATCGAAGAGGTCAGCTTCCGGGCCTGGAGCGAGGAGGCCTTCAAGATCTGGGGAGAGTGGTCGCGGGTGTACGGCAGGGGGCACGAGAGCGAAAAGTTCCTCAAGACGGTCAAGGAGGAGTACTGGCTCGTCAACATCATCCACCATGATTTCGTCGAGACAAACGCGCTGTGGGATTTGCTGAGGGGGTAGGGTAGCCAAGTAATGGAAACATGATGAAAATGTGACGCGCAAGAGCGCTTGGTGGTGATGCTGGAACTGTGCTATCAGCTCGGGCGTCAGAGTTTTCCGACGTTGCGAATTTCACTCAACTTGAACGCCTTTCGATGGGTACCGCGGTTCTCCTAGGCAACATCCTGTCACCGTCCTCCGCCACTGTGCATCCATGGAATTGATCTTTGTCAGAGGACACAAATTGAGTCCAGACAGACCAGGCAGATGTCATCTTTCACAGGGTACGCAGGATGATCAGCAGCCACGCCCAAGCCAAGCTATAAAATAAGCCTGAGGACTAGGGTATAGACTATGGAAGGACCAAACTCCCCAACTCCAAGACCCCTATATTTCAGTTCCCATTGTCCCTGAGACCGAAGCCTCCAGTGTCCATCGGGCTCTCATCTGTGGAGTCTTTTTGCTCCACGCGAGTCGTTGCTCGCAAACCGCTGCTCCTAAGCCATTGCGCGCAAGCCGTTGCTCCCAAGCCGCTGCCCAAAAAGCGCCCCCTCACGAGAGACTCAAATCTCATCGTAATTCTCACTGCCGACAAACGACCCAAAGTCCACCCCACCAAAGCTGTCCCCCTCGGACGAAGCCCCAAAGTACCCGTCCATCCCCGTCTGGCAAAAGGCGCCCCCCGCCACGACACCGCCCGCGCCGGGCCCGTACCCTTGCGGCGCCGCGTCGTAGTCAAACTTGACGCCCTCCTGCGACGCGGGCGCCGCCCTCTGGTGGCGTGTTGGCCTCGCTGTCCGAGGTCGTCAGGTCGACGCTCGGCACGGCGACGCGCGGGGCCGGCGCGAAGGGGTTGTTGAAGATTGTCGCGGGCCGGGCCGGGGCCGGCGACGATGCGGCCGTTGCGGAAGCGGAGACGGTGGCGGAGGTGGAGGTGGGGGCGGGCTTCTTGCGGCTCGAGGCCATGAGGCGGTCGTGCAGGCTGGCTTTGGGCGTGTCGATGCCGAGGGCGTCGTGGCCGGCAGTGCCGAATATGTCATCTTCGTCGTCCTCGCCCTCGGACGAGGCGGCGGCTGCTGTGGTGGGGGTCCTGGCGCCGCCGCCGCCGCCGCCGCCGCCGCAAGCTTGGTGCGTTTGGTTGAGGAGGCGCCGGAGCGGGAGATGGTTGAAGCGGAGCGTTTGGAGGCTGTCGTCGGGGTCGAGGCGGCGCTCGTGAACGAGCCGGCTGTGGCGCGGGGCCCGCGTGGCGTCGAGGCCGTGCTGCCGGGGCCGAGGGAGAGGACGGAGGCCGGGTTGCCGCCGCTGTTGACGGTGGCTTTGAGCGTGTTGGCGTCCTGCTTGATGGCGCGGAACTGGAACTGGATGCCGTCGGCTGTGGAGCTGCCGAACATGCGGGCGATTTCTGGCACGCGAGACGAGGAGCGGTCAGCGGGAGGTTCGCAAGCCAAGAACTTTTTACAGGACGAGCAAAAGAGAAACGAAACAAAGGACAAAGGAAGTAAGAGACGCAGCAAGGTTTGGGGTACGCGGGCGTGGGCATACCCTTCTTGTCCTTGGGCAGGTCGGCGGGGACGTCCTTGCAGTCAACATGTTGCTCGCGCGCTTGGCGTACGACGTCGGCGTGCGCCTTGAGGGCGCGGAAGCGATGCTCGAG